CTACTACCACTGCTAGGGCTGCCTTCTCGATTGGCGCGTACCGCGTCTCGGGTCCCGTCATCACCTTGCTCACGTAATACACTGGGCGCTCCTCCTTGTCCGGGCCCGCTCTGGAGACGAGGACGGCGCTCACGGCGGCTCGGGAAACTGCTATGTACAGGTATAATGTTTCGCCCTTCCGCGGCGCCGTCATGACCGCGGGTGTCACCAACAGGTCCTTCAATTGCTCGAACGCTCTATCACACTCGCTGGTCCATTTGAAGCGCGCGGCCTTCTTTAGAACGCCGAAAAAGGGGGCGCCCTTGTCGGCTGATCTAGGAATGAAACGCCCCAACGCTGCCAGGCGCCCATTCAAGACCTGCACTTCATTGGGCGTCCGTGGTGGGCTGAGGCGCCTGATCGCCTCCACTTGCCTTGGATTGGCCTCGATTCCCCTCTTTGTGATCATGAAGCCCAGGAACTTCCCTGCTTCCGCCCCAAACACGCATTTCAACGGGTTGAGGCGCAAGGTGTGGGCGCGCATCGTCTCGAACGTTTCGCGCAGATCACTCAGGTGATCCTCCTTCCTTTTGCTCTTCACCACCAGGTCGTCTACGTACGCCTCCACGTTTCGGCCAATTTGTCGTTGGAACACCGTGTTTACCATGCGTTGGTAAGTGGCGCCGGCGTTCTTCAACCCGAATGACATGACTTTGTAGCGGAAGTTGCCGAAGGGAGTCGCGAACGCCGTTTTATCTCTGTCCTCCTCGCACATGAGGATCTGATGATACCCCGAGAACATGTCTAGGAAGCTCAGCGCCTCATGATATGCGGTCGCATCCACCAACTGGTCTATGCGTGGCATGGGGTAGGCGTCCGTGGGGCATACCCGGTTCAGATTCGTGTAATCCACGCACATCCTCCAGTCGCCCGTCGCCTTCGGGACGAGCACTACGTTTGATAACCATGTTATGTACCGCGCTTCTTCCACAAACCCTGCCTCGAGTAACTTCCCCACTTCTTTGCGCAGAGCCTCCTCCTTTTCCTCCGAGAGGGGTCTTCTTTTTTGCTGGACGGGGCGCGCGCCCCTCTCAACCGACAACCGGTGCAATGCGATCTCGGGCTTCACACCTGGCATCTCCTTGGCGCTCCATGCGAACAGGTCGGAGAACTCCTTCAGGAGCCCCACCAGTGCCTCGGCCGCCTCCCCGCTCGTGTGCGCCGAGATGCGCACGCACCGTTCGGGACGCTCCGCGTCTAGGGGGACTTGGACCTCGGCGTCGGCCGCCTCCGCCCTGGGCGTGTCTTCCGGGCGCACATCAATGTTATACATGCGCGCCCTTTTCGCGAGTCGCGCTTCCGGTGAGGCTTCTCCTCGCGACATCCCCATTCCTTTCGGGGTAATGAATTTCAACACTTGATGGCACGAAGACGCTACCCCATTGAAGAGCGCCAGCATCGGACGCCCCAAGATTGCATTGTAGGGGGAGGGGCAGTCCACGATCCCGAACTCCACCGTGTGCGTCACATGATGCACCTCGTCTCCCAACGTCACCGGTAACCGCACACGCCCCACCACTCTTGCCGGCACCCCCGAGAACCCTATCAGGACTGACTCCGCCGGCCTGACCAGGCTCGGGGATAGTTGCATCTTCTCGAACGTGGACCTGAACAACACATCCATCGAGCTTCCCGTATCCACCAACATCCTCTTCACTTCACATCCAGCCACCACTCCCCTGATTTCAAGCGCGTCCACGGAGGGCACCCGACACGCCTCTTCGGGAGTCTCGTTAAAGTGAATATGCACCGCCGCGCGGGCGCTTGCCGTGGCCGATTTCAGGCGCCTGCCTTCGTCAAGCTTCTGCCTTAGGTCCAGCGTGCCCGAGATGGCCTCGATGGTAAGCCTCACGCGCTCCGGGTGCGCCTCGGGATCTAAGTCGAACGGGGGCGGGGGCAGCACTTCTGTTTCCATGGGGGCCTTCCCTTCTTCACTTGAGGCATTTTTTTGTTCCACCCCCTCCTTTTCCTCCTGCACCACGAAGGCTCTCTGCGTCCTATCTTCCCCCTTTCTTACGAACTCGTTCAACATTCCCCGATCCACCAGCCCTTGGATCTCCGACTTGAGCTGGTAGCAGTCAGCCGTGTGGTGTCCTCTCTCTCGGTGGAACTCACAAAACCTGTCGAGGTTCTGCTCATTCGGGCGCCCCTTCATTGGCCCCGGCCAGCGGATATGGTACCCCTTGTCCTTCACAAATTGCAGTACATTTTTCAACGAGTCGTTAAGCTCGGTGAAGTTCCCTCCTCCCCTCGGCGGAAATCGCGGCGGCTCTGGGCGTCGCATGTTTGCCGAAAAAGGTGCGCTCTGGTGGTGCGCCGCGACGGGCGCCGGGCGCGGCGCCCTGGCCATCTCCGCCTCTTCTGGGCGCGCGTCTCTCCGTTCCAACCTTCTCGCAGCCAGTGTCTCCTCCAACATGATCACCTTCTGCACCCTCCGATCCAAATCTTCGGTGGATATCACGTCCCTCTTAGACAGCGCTCGGCACAACTCTTCACTTGTTGTGCATTCATCCAGGCAGCATCCTAGGACCGGGGGCTTCACATCCTTGACCGCCATGGCTACTGACATCCAGCGCTCATAGAAGTCCCTGAGCGCCTCGCCCTTCCGCTGCTTGACTTTGAACAAGGCGCTAATGGTGAGGCTCCGGCGCTTCCGGCTGGCGAACTTCGAAAGAAAAAGGGCCGCGAACTGCTCAAAGCTATCAATCCGTCCCTCCTCTATTTGATGGTACCAATCCAACACAACGCCCGTAAATGTGGAAGGAAACGCGCGGCATAAGGTGGCGTCAGAGCTGTTGTACAATTGCATCTTCGTGAAGTAGTTGTTCAAGTGATCCTCTGGGTCGGCCGCCCCATCGTAGGTAGGAAGCGCCGGGATGACGGAATTCGCTTGTTCGGCCAATATGCTCCGCGCGAGGGGCTGTCGCACCCCCCACGCTCTCCCGTGTCGACGGTGTGCCCATCCATTGTGCTCGTCGAAATCCGAGGCCATATGCTTCGTCAGGTGTCCCAAATCTTCCATGCGCCTCATCGCGCTGGACGCCCCTTCCTCTTCTTCCTCTCTATCCCTTCTCTTTCCTAGAGGGGGGGGCCGCCGCCTCGGCTCCCTTTTTCAACATTTCCACCTCTTTCCTGAGTGCCTCAAGCGCCTGCTCCTGTTGCTCGACTATGTGGAGCAGATGCTCCTTTGTGAGGGTGATGCCCTCGGATTGGGCCGTGTCCTGCGCCCCGTCCTCAACCGCCGCATGCGCTTCTCCCGACAGCCCAGGCGCCTCTCGGGATGCCTCGGCCGCCGCCGGTCCTCCTCCTCCTTCTTCGGCCCCAAGCGCCTCCATGACCCCTTACTCTCTCTTCGTTGCTATGCGCCTTCTATCTGTTCGTCTGCGTGCCCCCTACCTGGCGCGCCAATTGTTCGAGCCCGGTAACTAGGCGCCCGAACCTCCGCGTACGACCGCCCTAGCTCGCTCACTCCTGCACACAGCACGGCTGAACTGAGTCCCAAGGGGGACTCGTTAGCACTCCGACGCCCAAGTCAGTTGCCCTTTCTAGAGAGAGAAGTGAATAGTAATTTTAGAGAGAAGATCCAACCTGAGTCAATGAGGTTCACCAACTCTCCTATTTATACCTCGGGTCCGGCCGACCAACATCCCCGTCTCCCGCCTGTCGCCAGACCCACATTAAATGCGCCGTACAGCCAGGTCCCATGCGCCTCGACCGCCTGACACCGCCCTCAGTAAGTCGAGGCGCATGACGTCAGGTGGTCCCTCCTCCGTACCTTCCTTCCCGTTGTAACCCTTTGTCGCATGCGCCCCGTGTCAGGGCCCGGGCCCCACCTGGCCTGGTGCCCCTTTCTGATGAATGGGCCGACTCCTCCGATGCCCTCTTGGGCCTATTGGGCCGTACTCCACTACTTGGCCTAGCCTACCCAATTTCACTCTCTTGGGCCCTGCAAGCCTTACCCTCCTGGGCCCTGGCCATGCCCCCAACACTATCCAATCTCACTCTCTTGGGCCCTGTAAGCCTTACCCTCTTGGGCCCGGGTCATACCCCCAACAGGAGTCAATTTAGAACAAAATGATTCTTTTTTTAAGGGTGATATAGATTTTTACTTTCTTTTTTTTTGTGATTAAACTATTTAGAGAATTTGAACCTGGAACCTTCAGACTCCAATTTCTAGACTAGTTGTATTACCACTAGGCCAAAACCGTGTTCGTTGGAACAAAATGATTCTTAGCATATGTTTAGATGAAACTCTCTTATGAGTTTGTTGTAGGCTTGTCCAAAGTCCACGATTTGGAACACGAGGTTCATAGAGAGAGAGAAAAATTAATACGGGGAAAGTAATTTTGAAGTGAAGCATTTAAAATAAGTAGATAAAATGTGTGTCATCTTGTTTGAAATAATGTTCATAATATTCAATCTCATCAAAGCATTGCTAAATCATTCACTTGTTTTAGCTACTCATCCTATCGGTGTGGGAGCATCAACTTCATTTTTGTGGGCTTTGGAAGAGTGAGAGAAATTGTTGCAATTTTATGAAAAGAGTCTCGTGAACTATATTGCATACTAGATTCTATCACTCCTTGATCGCCGAGCAGCACACTAGAAAAAAAGAAATTCAAACACGTTAATAAAAACGAAAAAACTACTCATTCAAACTATCCATCTTAGTTAAGGAAAAGGTTACCCACATGTGTCTAGTGCAAACTCCATATTGTTAACTATGAAGCAAGCAACTTTGTTAGGAAGTTAACAATTGGGCCACTCTTGGTTAGTTGTAGTTCTACTCCTATCCATGAGTAAACATCAAACTATGAAACTATTTAAAGACAAAAACAGAACATCAAAAGTTCTTGATTCCACAAACTCCTATTTTTGTGAATTCGTCATCATCATCAAAATCTCTTATCAACAAAATTTACATCAAATTATCCGTGGCTCCTAAATCTCAAAAACAATCCATCGAATTCAAATCCACAAACCAAACTACCCTTATTTTGTTCTCTCCTCCACTAATGTTCACACAAAAAGACCATGAAACCCCACATTCCCATCAAAACAAAACACAACCTCCTTTCTCTTTCTGGCTCTGTCTCTTCATGCCCTCCCATTTTGCAAGCTGTAAAAAAGAGGTAATGCCTTAGTTAGCCTTTACCCCACCTCACCTTATTATTCCTTCTCCCACAGACAAATGGTTTCAGCTTAGCTGCAAACAAAAGAAACTTCCTTCTTCCCCACCTTCACAAAGCTCCATCCTCTCAACATTGGCCTGGTATTGAAGTCTTCCTCAAAAGCTCCAAACTTTCATCGAGCCCTTCTCATAACATGGTCCCCCTTCCAGAATTTCTAGCAATGTCACAGTTTGCTCTTCTGGGTTTTGTGTTTTGCAGGCATGGCAGGAAGACTATCATAACTGCTGCCGCTGCTATGGATTTTGGTGTTGAGACTTTGAGCTTGTGAAAAGGGGAAAAGGGAAGAACTTTGTTTTGTCTAAGGTTTTTAATTACTAATTAGATAACAATAATAGTAATATATTAGTACAAAGAATGCCAGTTCCTCTTGCACCTTATCCAACTCCACCAGTTGCTCCATATAATCCTCCTCCTCCACCTCCTCCAGCTGCTGCTGCCAATGGTAAGTAATACTAATCTTCCATTTTCATCCAACCAAAAGCTTGCATTCATATTATTCTTCTTATCCCTTTTGGGAATGTTGGGTTTTTTGTTTGTACTTTTAAGGTGGACAAAGCCAGCTAGTGTGTTCTGGATGTAGAAATCTGTTGCTTTTCCCAGTTGGGGCAACCTCAGTTTGCTGTGCTGTCTGCAATGCAGTCACTGGAGTTCCTCCTCCTGGTATGAAAACAGAAAATAAGGGTTCAACTTTTTTACCATATTTGATCACTCAAAGCTTTAAAGGTCATTCTTTTTCACCTTTTTTGAGTGATTGATACAGGCACAGAGATGGCTCAGCTGGTATGTGGAGGCTGCCACACTTTGCTCATGTACATTCGTGGCGCGACAAGTGTCCAATGCTCATGCTGCCACACTGTCAATTTAGCCTTGGAAGGTAAGGGGAAAAGTTAGAATCACTAAAATTCCAAATTTTTGGCCAAAAGGGCATCTCAGGAATGCTGAAATGTGGGGTTTGTTGTTATAAAGTTTCAGCCTTTACCCTATTTGAGGCATACAATTTTTTGAGAATTGGAGTGATGTTCATCCTCGCTATCCAAATTGTGAAAGGTATTATGTTTATGCATGAAAAGGTGATGGATGGTCAAGCCTAAAGAAACCCCCTAACTGAATGACCATGATCTCCCAAAATTTGGCCTAAAGTGGGGTTTTTTAAAAACTTAAGTCATAAAGTTTTACCCTTTATGAGGATGAAATACAATTTTTGGGAAAAGCATTTGAGTGATGGTTTGGTTCTTGTCTTGGCAATTTGGTGTTTGGGACAGCAAACCAAGTGGCACATGTGAATTGTGGGAACTGCAGGATGCTGCTGATGTGCCAGTATGGAGCTCGATCTGTCAAATGCGCAGTCTGCAATTTCGTTACATCAGTTGGGGTAAGTGTCTCCGAATCCATTCATGGTCCTCCTAACGTGGTTCCAAAGCTACTAGCCAAATGTGACTGATGTTCAATCCTAGAGAAAGAAACCCCTCAACTGTGCAATTTGGCTTCTTTCTGTATAAAGTCCATATTGCCTTCATAGCACAAAATGTAATGACCATCTTGCTAAATGGTTGCAGGCCTCTGCAAGCACTCCAGAGCAGAAATTCAGCACTGCTTGATCTTGTGGTTTCACTTGCGATCTTTTACTAAGTACTCGTCGACAACGATTGAATCAAAACGCCAGTGGCGTGGAGCAATGAAAACTTCAACTCCAAGTCACAATGTATAGAGTTGATCTTCCTCCTTTTTAATTTCCCTTTGAATAAACCAGTTTTGGAGAAGTTTGTGGTTATTTGAACTATATAACTACTATCAAAAAGTTTATAATGTTGAGATAAGGAGTAGATTTCTGTTTTGGAAATGGAAAGACTGGACAATCTGAATCTCAATGGCTTGGAAGTCACAGAGACACATAATGGTGGTGGCCCAAAAGAGATATTTAGAAACAGAAAGACAAGGTTCTGGGAAAAAGGGTATTTGTGGTTGAAAGCAAAAGAAGAGAGCTTTCATGTTGAAAACCATAGCCCATAGGAATTCCTTGGGGGCAGGAAGATCACTTTCAAAATCCAGAAAGAATCTTAATCCATGTCATTTTCACAGTTTTCCTCTTTCAAGTTTTGGGTTAAGGTGGTTTTATAGTCTTGTATGTCAATTTAACAAGCAAGTCTCCATACTATGATTCTAAATGTGGTTTATTCATCTTTGAACCCCTTGGTTTCTAAACATTCACTGAAATTGGTTAGTGATTACCAATAGAATCAGCTCATGTTTGAAAATTCATTTTTTCTCCTCAACATTGCCCTATGAATCTCACATCTCCTTACACTTTTGTACGTCGCAACTGACATTTAGCACTTAAAACGAACGAGATTAATTGATATGGTCCAATAAAACAGTGAAAGATGGATCAATAACACTGAGATGTGTGAAACCATCAAGAACATGCTTACTCAACATGGGTGGAGCTCTAACAAGTTAACTGGAGCATTAATTGGAGATTGGGAAAGGGTATATTCTTCTTTCTGGTGCTCATCCAAAAGAGAAGCTGATTGATTCCCTTTGCCATTATTGCAGTCCAAAGAAAGCAACTTTGTTTCGTGGTGGTCTCTTTCTCACACTTATCAGGCTCCAAATTGGAGCCATATGGATTGAGACCTTATAATTGTAATGTATCATTCAAGAGCAAGAAAGCTGAGTGAGTGAATGACTTGTTGCCTGCCAAAAGTCTGATGGAAATCCTCAACTTTTCTGCTAGTATTGTTGTATGTATGTGTATATCTTTGTCCATGTTTGCCGCATCCAAGCTGCTCATCTCGATTGGCATTATTGTTCACTGTGTCATCACTTGCTGGCTCAATGCTTCAAACGGGAGTCTGCCCACTCGAAAAGTTCACTGAGAGGTCACCCTCATTCAAATTGGAAGGCTCTATCATACCATGTCGCGAATAACTGATTCATCGTCGAAATAGTAGAGCATATGTTTCGATGTTAATTCATCTCTGTTGGGTATGAAGACTATATGTCTCGAGAAAATGGTGGTACGAAACCGAACAAGATGCCTTGGCATCCCATAGATAGAGCAATCGAGAGATGTTCGCATCTCTTAATGCACCGTGATCTTCTCTTCCGGTTTAATACTAGCTGATATTCGTATTTAATGTTTTCTATAGAATAGGGGGCTTATGCGACAGTTATTCGTCATCGAGAAAAAAAAACGATATATAATCTTCGAATCCATCTAATAAGAGATATTTACATAACCAAATAAGATTGGGAGTTATCTATCTTGCATACACCAAGTTCAAAGCCAGGCGCATGAAAACAAATAAGTTCCATTGGAAGGAGCAAATTCTGTGAGTGGTCAATTCACCGCCCATTGGAAGGAAAGGTAGAAAGTAGTAGCAAGCAGTCATGAGTCGGGTAAGTAACAGCCGAAGAAACAGAAAATGAAAGGAAGAAAGAAAGAAAAGAAAGATCCAAAATGTAAGATGTGCCCCTCTGCCCCCACAGAAATCTCAAATCTGCACTGGATAAGGATTTCTTGCTTGGCCATACTGATGAATGATTGATTCTCAAGTTGTTGATAGATAGCCAGTATTTTTATTTTTATTTTTGTCCAATTTTCATGGCAGGGAGGGAGGGATTTTGCAAAGCTTAGTTTAGTTAGTTAACCTTCATATGGTTTTTACAATGAGATGACTAGTTGCCAATGTCAGGGCAACGTCAGAATGATGTGGGTGAGACGTACATACAGCATACAAAACGAAAACTTAAACCCCTGCAGCTGCTGCATTCCAGTTAAACCGAAACGAACATACAACATACAAGTTCCAGTCTACAGCAAATGAGGATGTTGATCGATTTGGTCTCTGATCACTATCTGGAGAGGCATTTTGTCCGGTTAAAACCTAACGGACTGAATATCGGCAGGTGGAGGATCAACATTCTCAGTTTAACTTGAAATATACAATGCAGCCTGAACTCAAACAATCTCTCTTCTATTCATCAGCCATGGCCAGCTCCAAAGCGTAGTCGTCTCGCTCCTGTCAAATCGAATCGTATTATGATTTATCGATTATCCTCTCTCCTGTGATCGTACAAGGATGATATATTAAGAAACAAAAAGACTTACAATTGGCCCTCGAGCAAAATACCTCCCGAACTGAAGCCAATATACCTGATGCATACAACAGAAGAGTGTGTTTGGCATTAACTTATGAGCACCGCAAGCCCAATGAGGGGGAAACCAGGCAGAATACGTAGAGCTTGAAAAGGTTTGCCAATGTACCTCATCTTCGTCTTGTGTTTCGACTTCAAGATCCGAAGACGGAAACCCCACACAAAGCAGTGCATATCCCTGCACTTCCAGACATCAGATGCATATCACATGTTACTTCTTATGCAAGAAATTAAATCTTTTGTGTCCCCATCTCTTTGGTTTAACAGAAAAAGAGCTGCCATTGCCTTATCTTTGAGCTCTGCAGATATCCCTAGAGCTTCTGGCTGTCTGAGTTGTCCAGATTTCACACGTACTGCACAGCTAGTGCAACAACCTGCAGCCAGAGAGCCTGTTGATGAGCAACAACTTAAACGATGGAGTAGAGCCTACTTGCAGGCACCGAATATACACAAGCACAGAAGACAACACACAAGTATAAGTTAGCTTCTAATGAATCCACTTGATTGCCTTAAGTTGTTATCCACAACTCGATACATCACAAATATCGTCTGGGGACCAACTATAAGTTGATAAAAGAAAATGGATTTCCTAGAGCGAGTTGCATTTGCAGATGAAACACAATGTAAATGAAGGATTTCTTAGATAGAGAAGAGCTAGAAGAGGTAGTTAAGGTTCAGTCCTCATTCCAACAGACTACCCATAGATATAGTTTTCGAAACACACACAAACTCCTTCAAACTGCCCTAATTCTGATGGTCCTACATATCAGGTGACTCTGACCATAATTATATTCAACAATCCAACAAGGGTACCTAACCATCTTAGTTCTAAACAATGCAAATCCGATCATCGAAAGAACAACCTTGTCATGATAGCTCAACGGACCAATCTACAGCACAAGCAGGAGAGCCCACATGCAAGAACTACAGCATACCCTGAAATTCATTTTCTAAATTCCCATCTCCTCGGCCAGCAAATGGGTTTTGCTAAATCACTCTTCATAGCCAGAGGAAGAGAATTCAGAAGGTCTTCTCTCAATGATCTAGAAGCGAGATTCTACCCCACACTGAATCGAAACTCATTGCTTTAACATCCCCTCTAAGATCAACTTGACAATGCATTCACAGATGGGTTATAATTCAATAAGATATACAGACTAATACCATGCCTGCAAGCAAATGGAAGCGTAATGTCCTGCGCTTCCGCTGTGTGCAATATATACTGATCCTGCATAAAAAAAAAAATAACATCCCAAGAGATCTCATGAACTGAAGGGTAACATCAAAAAGGATTCCAAAAGCAAGAAGAAGCAAAATAACGCAGCCATACCTCTGGGACGACGAACTCGTGGACGACGCCGCGCTGCCGATCATGAACAGTGACTTTGTGGGTGGGAACCGCAATCGGGACTGCGGCGGGTACACCGTTTACTCCGACCGCAGTCTGGAGCTCCGATTTTGTTCTGACGAGAGCCCATTTCGGCCGCCGGGAGCTGGTGGCGGAGGGATTGGAGCTGGAGGGGAAGAATGGAGATTGGAGAGGTGTGGATTTAGGCCAAAATGGGGAGGAGATAGTGGAGCTGCAACTGCAAGAGACGATAAGGTCCATCTTTTGGATGAACGATTGAAGGGGAGCGATGGGATTTCTTTCCCTCCCTATTTGGGCCATCTCTTTGGCGGTTCAAAAATATCAATATGGTCACTGAACTTGAATATATGTATCAAACGCATACCCACGTTGTTAGAAATCATAAGTGGTAATGGCAAATGGATTGGTGGATTGCATTGGTGAATTCATGGATCAATTGGATAATTGATCTATGGATCCAAACGACATTCAAGTTTTGGAGCATTATGTAAATTTTGAAAAGTTTAGGTACTAAATGTCATAATGAAAAAATTTAGATACCAAAAAGTTTTTTTTAACAAAACGATAGCTCGTATTAAACAAGAAAAGAGAGTTACATCATATTCACCTCCCTAGAGAGCCAAAACACAAAAATCAAACCCAGAACAACGATTGGAAAACAAAGAAAAGGATCTTCTTAGGCCTTAGCCACTAGATGGGCTACCCTATTGTTGTCCCTCCTCACAAAACAATATTGCAGATTGGGAAAAGACAGCTGTCGGGACCGAATCTCCTCGTAGATTGCTTCGCCACGAATATCGGCTACCAATCCTACATTAACCTTGTCAATCACCACCTTTGCATCACCTTCAATCGTGGTACCAAAAAATAATTTACCAATAATTATTTTCTTATTAAAAATAAATGTTATGTACCAAAATGTAAAATATAAAAAGTACAGGTTAACATTCCATGATCCTCTGGTATTTGTGATTGTTTACATTCAATTCATATAAAATTAGAATTTTTATATTAATTGACATTTCTATCTTAATAAAAAAATTAGAATGATTCAGAAAATTTTGAGAATTTATTTATACACATATTTAGTGAGATAAATAAGAAAAGGAAGGGATAAACCGATAAAGTAGAAGAAAAAAAATTTCATGAATTAAGTTATAGAATCTCCGATAATGAGAAATTCGATATCGATAGATTTTAGAGATTGAAATCTCTAAACATGTAATCCACAATACTAAAAGTAAAAAAAAAAAATCCACAAATTTACAAATTAAGTGAGTGAATCAATCGGTGAAATCCTTTTCTCCAAACAAAGCCCATTTGGAAACTTCTCAAGTCCAAAGCCCTTTTAAACATTTGGTAAATACCAGCCCATCAACTGGTGATGATTTTCGGCAGTCGAAAATAGTAACTGGAAAAGCAAACAACGAAGCAGTCAGGCCCAATAACTAGTAGCCCAACGGTCCCGCCTTTCCTATATCTTCCTCTAAATTTACCCCAAAAGCTTCTTTTGAGTCGCCGTCGGCCCAACCAAGAGCTGTTGTAATAAAATCTAAATCTTCATGCCCTGCGTGGAAAACGTGCACCGGGAATCTAACAACAAAAATATATGAATTTTTTATTATTATTAAATGTCCATTTAACTAATCAATAGAATACATGATATTTAAACGAAACGATAAGTTTTGAGCGGTCCTAACATCATTATCATGCTATACGTGTCAATACACATTATACAATACAATTATCATCCCGCAGTTAGTGATAATATATAATACGTGAATAATTAGGTAAGATCAAAGTACGTTTATTTTATTTTAGTTTGTTAATGACTGCCGAAAATCAATTATCTTAGCAGTCAACGTAACCGAAACTCTTGGGTACAATCTACGTCGGGTAATTGCCAAACACCTTGCTACATAACAAAATTTGTACCACATCATATTTGTATTCATATAGATACTTGACCAATACAAATATTGCTCGGATTGATTGGGTCGGACACCCGTAGAGTACGAATTGAGTTACCTATCTCTCTAAAAGATTGTTTGGAAGTTACAATTGTTTTCTTGGGGTAGTTCTTGTACTTGTATTGTTTAGAATGTATCGTTTTCTGTTTTTTTTTTATAATTTGTTTACACCATATATACATGGATTGTTTAGGTGATATGACATAAAATATCATCCAAAAATGAGTGATTGTTATATCTCAGCTTTTTGCTGAGATGTTGAGATCGTAGAGTTGATATTGTTTTACCAAACTTTTCGCTGATAATCTAACATACACAATCGTACATATCAAAAACTGGATCTTATAAAGCATTAAATTCATCAAACTAGAGGACCATGTTTGATTGTTTTTCTTTGTCACTATGCAGGCCTAGCCTAGCCTAGCTAGGTATTACTTATCTTTATTAGTTATTACTTATTACCAAGTCGCTATACACGACCAAAATAATTAGTCTGATGCGACGCAAATTTGTGGTCGATCTCATAAGTACTATTCCACGGAACACTGATTTTGACTGCTATAATAATCACAAAAGAAAAACCCAAAATGCTCTGGACCGTCCGATCCACATTTTTGACAATCGAGTGGCTGAAAATTGTCTTGGACACTTCAACACCCTCAGGGTCCTCTCTAGGACCACGACCTTTTGGATTCTTTGTTTTTAGATAAATCAGCCTTAATCTATTCCCACTTGGCCAAAGAAATTAAGTTCATCCACAAATGTAGGGTAATCGATGAAAATGGTCACTTAGGTTTAGACCCGTAACGAAACGGTCACAAACGTTTAAAACGTAACAAAATGTCACATGAATATTACGATATAATAAAATAGTGATTTTGTCTCGTAATGTACACAGTGAGGACTTATTTTGTTGTCCAATATAATATGCCACAGGTGTGTCAATTTGTTTTGGGTGGAAACTTTCCCGATGTCGATTGATTGGATTGCGCTTTTAACTTCCAGAAATCAAGACGGTCGTTACGGTTCACACCTTTTCAAACAATATTCAAATAATGGTGGGTAATGTTTGGGGGAAGCTTTTCAACCATGCATGTTGCTAGGACCAAAACACTATTTGAAACCATTTACATGAAATCGCGAGCTCGATGGTTTGCAACGTAGGTGGCTCCGAACCATATAAGCCACCCATCCTCCTCGCATGGCTCGCGCTTCCATGACCCACACTAGAACCCTTTCATGTACCTCTACAAAACTCCGTTGTGATGCCTTTGTCGCAATGTTGCTTTTTCGTGGCTCCACGTTGGTTGGAGCTGGGACATTATTGAACTCCCGGCACTGTTAAGCTTGCGTTGATCGCCGAGATATAACGAGCTCGTGATGCGCCGTTTAACTCGCGACATCTACCTGCACATGATCCTCAATGGTATTCGATTTACCCCATGCTTAAAACGTGAAATCCTTAATGGTCTATGAGTTTTAGCAAGATCCCTAGACTTGCATCCCAACACTTTTTAAATAGAGAAAACTTGCCCTCACACCTCACACTTTTAGCATATAGAATCTGACTCTCCACCCAACTATATACCTAATGACGACTAACACTATTCATATTTGTCTCCTCTTCACTCATTTCAAATTCAAGTTTGATAACTTCCAACAAACAAACATAATTGAAGCCACTACTCACCCCAAGTTGGCTAGTGTCCACTATGGCCATATAAACTCAAACCTCCCTCTCTTTCCTCCAATCCAAAATACTAGGGTTGGCTATTTGGTCCGGTTTTTTTGGTTTTACCCGAATCCGGACTGTATAACCCGAACCGGGACCGGATAGTAAACAATCCAATCCAATCCAATTTTTGGGCTTAGATTTGAAGTAAAAAACCGTTCGAGACCGGATCGAAAACTGGATAAAGACCGGATAAGAGAGCTCAACACCCAAGACTTAAGGGTAATTTGCATAAACGGTCACAAACCTTTGCACTTAGTACAAAACTTAACCAACTTCTAACCCTTTTAGACCTTAGGCCACTCAAGTCCCCATAAGTTCAATATAAAATCAAGACCGAATTGGGACCGGATCGAGTCAAGACCAGACCGGATCAAAACCGAACTGTATCCATTCAATTTTTGGTCCTTATATTTTCAAAAAAACCGGATCGGGCCGTATAGCCACCCTACAAAATACTTCACCTCCTTTTATGTATATATTGTTTTGTCTTCTCTCCCATCTGGCCATCTCCTCTTTTCGGGAAACCCAATGCCCATAATGAAAGCGCCAAACTTGAAGGAAAGCGGCAAAAGACAATGAGGAAAACAATGCGAATTATAATACCTCGCGAAGTAGGGTAGGGGCGGCGGCTCACCTACCCCAAACCCTAATCTCTTTTCTTCGGTTTCTGCCTTTGCCGGCCGCCGCGTGTCATCTTCAGCTGACTACCACCGCCCCTCCCATTTCACACGTGTCGAAGACCCATGTCAACCAATTATTCCGCCACCTGTCCCCCCTTCAGGGGTTAACTTTCCCCGCTATGGAAAAGATGCTTTGTATATAATGACTTGTTAGTTTTTACAGTTGAGATATCATTCTGTAGGCTATTATCAAGCCAAGTGTGATCATTCATTTAGAGCTGATATGCAAATGATAAAATGGAGTGGGCTATCAGCCACGGCAGCACAGTTAGTAATTACTTCGTTTATTACTCGTACATATTTTATACGTAGACGAACCAGAATAACGTTCGTATTTTACTAACTATGTTAGGCAGATACCATTAGATCGATCATTCTACGCCACCCTTTTAAAAATAAAGTCAATCGAGCTATCGAGGTTATATTTACACGTCGAGATTTCCACAACTAGCACGAAAACTTAAACAAGTCACTTCAAGTTTTCCACAACTAACGAATAGCATAAACTTAGGAGTCGTTTCCGTTGATTTAAAAATAAGGGTTTTGTAATTTAAAAAAATAAGGATTTATCAAGGATTTGAGACATTATGCGATTGTAACAATTCTTTGTTTGTTCAGATGTTTTATCATGGATTTATGGGTTTGGAATTTAGAACTTACAGTCCAAAATTACCTTACTATTCGTTTCTATTTGTTTGTCATGTTTATGATATGTACACTAAACAAGGGCAATACGTACTAGTAAGCATAATGTTGCCGCAAGGACAACGATAATAAAATGTATATTTTTATTTAAATTTTAATGGAACACTTCTACTATGCTATAAAGCATTGGTGCTTTAATGTACAACTTGAAGTTGTACCATAACGCTAAATGTATAAGTTCAGCTAGTAACATAAAGGAATTTGTACCATTATGTAGTGGTACAACATTACAACTTACAGTTGTACCATCACATAAAGGTACAAGTCAAGTTGTACCATAAAAGAATTTGTACAAAAAGTATAGGTACAATCTGAAATTGTACCATAACATTAAAGGTACAACTTCAAGTTGTACCTTAAAGACAAAAACATATAGCATCAATACTATATAGTATAGTAAAATTCCTCATTTTAACGTAGCATATATAAGTTATCAATTCTTTGTCTCCTTTTCAAAAGTAGCATATAGCAACATATATTAGAACAGATAGAACAAAGAATTCCACGTTACATGAAAATGTCAAAGGAAACTAGAACACAAGAAAGGGCACAGAAAATCAAAATCATATTTGCACATTAATTGAATATTTATATTGTTTTTTGTTGTTAATTAATTGATTAATTATAATGTATAATAGGTAAATGTGAGGACAATCTTGAAATATTAAAAAGTCAAATGAAGGTATATGAGTAAAATCCTCATCCTGAATTTATGGCATATTCCAAATCCAACATACACATGTGGAATTGACAAATAGATAGGATCCAGAATTGAGACCTTTAAAATCCGTCAACCCTATAAATTTGATTCCTAAAAAAATTACAAACAAACAATAAATTTCTACGAATTTGATCGCTAAAAAAAGTACAAAGTACAAGCAAACAATAGATTTCCAGTACCAATCCAATATAGCTACAAAACTTATGGATTTCCCTTAATGAGAAATCCGAATCTTCCAAGGAATACCAGCTCCACCTTTATTACTTTCTGGGTTCTCCTTTCCCAAATATATATACACATTATTACATTTATACATGATCACAAACCACTCCTTGCTCCACTTGGAATTGGACACCATTATACATCCCTTTTATCACATTCTACGCAACTGGAACACAAGTGGAAAGATGCTCTCTAGCTATAGTATATTTACACTTTCTTGTTATGAACAAACAAGTGGAAAGATGCTATGCTTCTGCTTTTTGGTACCTTAACCCATTATTTTGTAGCTATATCCAAACATAGTCTTCTACTCCATACACTACAAACAAACTACTTCTACTTCTACTACCTTTCCCCTTCCTTTTCCATCTATAATATGCATTCATATATTTCCTTCACAAACTTCATCATCTCCACTTGTGGTTTGCCCTACTGCTTCTGTATACACACATTATGCCCCTTTCCCCACCAAGTTGATGAGAAAGGGCTTACTATGTTGACACCAAAAAGAAACCAAAGGGAAGCAAATTACAATACACTACTCTCTAGATCTGTGTTTGTTCTGTATAACAAGCACCATCCATTCTTCGGTTTGAGAAGTTTGTTAATTAAAATCTTTTACCATTTTTTTGCTTCAGTACTCTATGATGAGCCCTCCCATGGGGGCTCGGTGAGGTATCCCCTTCCTGCGCTTTGCTGTCCTGAAACTTGTCGAAGTTGGTGGTGGTGTTGATGGAGAAAAGCTCTCGATTCTGTCGATGATATTGCTGTACTTGCTCTTAAAATGCCTCGCCCCATGGCTATGGCTGCTGGTGCTGTGGTAGGAGTCCTCCGAGTCCGATCCCATTGCAGTTAATCGCTGCTGCTTCCTGATCTTCTGGAAGTTCCCTGATGTCCCAACAATCTAGGAACAAATAATACAAACCGACCAACATTAACCGAAAATGATCATCATTTGCCCATTCTCAGGTTAAAGTTATTGTTCAGGCGAGAGCAATTGCGTGATAAGTTCTGCATACCTTGCAACCGAGGGAGCAGAAGCGGAAGGAGTCGAGGAGGCTGCGCTCACAGACATCACAAGTGTTGGTGACACCTTTGCCTGGCCTTGGCTGAGGCCTTTCGTTCAAGAACACGACTCTAGCACTGTTGATTACATAGGTCTGGACGCCAGTGATGTCCAGTACTTTCTGTATCTCATTCACCCTGATCACATCATGGTAAGAAGACCTCCTTATCTAGGAAAAATGCAAAACCAAAATGTCAACAAAGGAACCAATTGAAATCAATCAAAAACTACAGAAAACACCCATTGAGTTGGTTCTAGTAAAGAAGACCACCGTGAATGAGGATTGGGGAAATGGCAGAGTTCAAATGGGAATGCTAGGGATTTGGTGTCACCCAAAAGCCAAGTCAATACACTTGAGTAAATAGGAGAAGACCCCTTTGAAATCAATCAAAAGTTGCATAAACCATGGAGCTGATTGGAGTAAAGAAGACACAATGAATGGAGATTTTCCCTCATTGGTAAAGTCAAAGGAACGGTAGTATCTGTGTCAGAATGATGAGAGAAACAGGAAACCCCTTTCATTTTGTAATCAGCTACAAAACAAAATCTCAGCGGAGCAAAGGCTGATTGGGGGAATAATCAATCAAATTTGAAAACCCAAATTCAAAAAGTTACAAGCAGCAAAGCTAAATTTCAATGGATGAAACTAGTTTCTATACCTGAATGGCGAGATGGTCTTTGTGGTAGGCGAGGCATAGAGAGCAGAGGGGGCCATTCATACAATCCAAGCAGTACATATTGCACTCGCTCTTGTGGGAATCGGCATGGATTTTGCATTGAACGAAGAACCGCTCTCTCAGCAGCGGCTTCAACCATGGCGGCCACCTACCGCCACAGTCCTCTTCTTCTGGACCTCCAGCGCCCTGTTCAAACCCAAAAAAACAGAGTTGGTCAACTCGGTCAAACTTAGCTCAAATCAACTTTTCGAACCCAGAAACTACAAAAAAAAAAAAACAGACTGAAACCGCCATTGTAATCGCTTTTGAAAGAAGACCCAGAAACGAAAATCGGAACCAAACAACCACTGTAATCGCCCAGCAAAGAATGAAAGAATGACAAGAAAGAAATCAAAAGAGGGTAGAAGAAGGGTAGACGAGCTCTGTCTCTTCTCTTTTTTCCCCCCCAAAACTCACCATGATTCTCCTGTTCTTGGGCTTGATAGCTGTGTCCTGACTATCGATCGCCAGCTTGAAACAACGACCCAATGAGCCAATGGCGGAGGAGAAAACAGAGGATTACTGAAGAAACAAAGTGAAGCTGGGAGTAAAGAGAGGGTTGGTTTTGAGAATGGCGAGCAGAGCTTTTGGGCAAAGTGAAGGCGGCTGAGAAAATCGGCTAGAGAGAGAGAGAGAGAGAGGGAAGTGGAGGTGAGTGGAGTCAATGGAAATGAGAAAATTGTTTCGGGGGAAAGAGGCATTGTTCTTATCCTCACCAAAAAGTCTACAGTAGGGCAAGCGCAAGGAGGAAGTGCGCGTTTCCTTCTTTTTGGCGCCAACATGCAATTTGGCGCTAAATGTTTATAGTTTGGTCTATTCAGTCCCTCAACTTCAAATGCTTACAATCAAATCCGTTGACTATTTTTTTAAAGAAGACTTTCCATTTTGTGGTTCATCAAAAATAAAGTTAGCTTCAAAATGGACTTTCTAGGTTACATGACTATAGAATCATAATAATAATATTAAAAGGATGTCCATCATAAAAAAATATTAAAAGAATGTAATGTTAGTTAACAAGATTATCATATGTGAGGTAATAATGACTAAACCATTTTTGTATCTACTCTACATAAATTTAAAAAGAGAATTTACACAACGAAGCCAACCTTGTCTAGTGGTAAGAAATTTGGATCGATTGGCAATGTTGCCATTAGAAACAGGCCAAGAGGACCTAAGCAAGATGTCTTGGATGAGTCAATCATTCATATGTGATTTTCCAAGTATGTTGTATATGATAGTGATTAAAAGACCGTTTCAATTGAGTTTCGTAGATCAATCCACAAAATCATCACTAAAAACCCTCCACAAGACCTCAAGATAAAATGCCTTAACTCAGCCACCCGCAGTTGAAGAGATTCTTTCGATTACTCGTACGATTGACAGGCCAAGCCCTCGTCACAGAAGAAAATTTCACTTTTGCAAGATGAAGGATATTTATTGCCCTCTTTTAAAGTTGGAGGACTTCCAAAGCTGAAAGAATGAAAGTGAATGGACTAAAGATGAACTCTTAACCCTGGTGCGGTTCGCCGAACCTAAATTCCTTGCTCCTGACCTAAAAATCTCATTTTCAGAAAAGCCACGTGGAAAGAGAGGAGATGCGTTGCGAACAAGGAACCACCCTCCTTCTTTCGTTCTTTTTTTTCTTCTTCTTTTTTTGTGTGTTTATGGAATTATTACACGATTAATTTTTATTTTGTTTTCTTTATTTTCCCATGGCTAACTCTTCCTATGATGTATCTACTAAAATTAGGATTAATTACAGTAGGAACCACCAAAATTGTGGCGACTAAACAAATTGGTCACCAAATCTTCTATGGTTTGTAGTATCAAACAATTCTATAGTGGGCTTTGTAAACCATTGTGAAGTTTTCCCCCGAATTGTTCAAGAATGTGTTAAGAATTTTCGAGAACTCATATGATATATGCAGATGATTTCCTCTTGTTTTCCAATGGAACCGAGTAGGCTATAAGAGGTGTATATAGTATTTTGGAAAGCGTTTACAAGCTGTTAGATCCTAGGTTTAACCCAGAAAAGAGCTAGTTGTTTCGTGTTGGGATTTCAGTGGAAATGTAAGAGGTTTTAGCAGGTCTTGTGGGTTTTTAGAAGGCTGCCTTCTTAGACCACCCACAGCGTGGGTTGGTTTTGTGGGAAAAAGGGGAAATGTGACCACAATGTGGGGGGGAATAGGGGATTAAATGGGTTTTGTGGGTTTAGTGGGTGGGAAAACCCACCAGATGAGACAAATGGTGGGGGGAAAGGGGAAGGGGTGGGACCCACTTCAGTTTGTTTTTATTTATTTTTTTGTTATTATTTTAATGATTTAGTGTTTGTTTTTAGGGTTTAGTGTTTATTTGTTTGCTTTTATTTCTTCTTAATTATGTTTATGTTCAACTATCAATGTAATAACTTTCTTGTATAAATTATTGCGATTTCGTCATTAATGACGTTAATTAGTGATGAAAAAAATTATGTCCAAATTAGAAAAAAATTATATCAAAATGTTCGTATTCATTAATTATCACTAACTATGTAAAAATAATGATCATTATATAAAAATAAAGTGTTGAAATCAACTATAAATTGATTTTACGAAAAAAGTATTCAACCAATTACCCCTTTTTCCCACACCAACATTGTGACCAAACCCTCTCATTTTCCCCCTTTTCCCTCTTTTCCCACCTTTCCCACCCTCCCACATTGTGGATGGTCTTAGTGACCAAAGACTTGGAGACTAAATGTAGCAAATTCCTATGGGGAATTGATGAACATAATCGGGTCGTTTGGATTGATCAATGTAGAAATGAGTCAATTTGATTAATTGTCTCGTTTTATAAACGGGGCAATTAAAACGAGTCAATTCGAATTACCTGCCCCCACCCCAGGTAATCTTCATTTGCTCTCCTAAAAGAGTTAAATATCGACCTTCTTTTTTTTAAAATAACATATAAGAATGACCGCCCCACGTACCCCGTACGGGTATTATCTGACCTAACTGTGCTTAGTGCGAGGAGGACATGGTTATTGAGATACCCACCACGCCCCATCACTAAATCCAATTGTAATATAATTAGTCCAGTGAGCACATTGTACCATGTCTAACTAAAGTACACATGAAAAATAAAAACAATGGTATTAACAAGCAACAACTAAAATCTCTGCTGTAACAAAAATATTAGCTTCTTCAAGCTGTGGGTGGTGTGAGAGATAGAGAGAGTTGATATAAGATTCATAATTAACATTCTTATAATAATTTGAGTTATTGAGACCAGTTGGTTTGTGACTTGATATCAAAGTTAGTTTGGTCAAGTCATAAGTGGTCGTGCGTTCAAATCTTCATGACCTCCAACACTTATATTTAATTCAAGCACATAATCTTCATGACTCCAACGCTAACATTTTATTTAAGTACAATGTATGGTGGGCCTATACAAATTTTAAACTCGTGATTTGGCTTTTGGTTTGAGTAGTGTGTATTAAAAAATAATATAAATCTTCTTTTAATAACTCGAGTTATTAAGATCGGTTGATTTTTTATATGTGTACAATTTAGAGGTTGGCAGCTACTAGCTATACGGTCTCAATTTATACAATGCATATAAAATAAAAAATCACTCTAGAGTTGATCTCCTTCGTAAGTACTGGTAGCTAATTAGGACCGTGTTATATTATTTTTATAATTAGTTTTGAAGAATTAACATACTGTTTTAGATGATATTTGGATAAAAATTTCAACAAATATGAACTAATAAATTATTATGTTAGTTGTTTTGGACTTCAATAACAAAGTCTGTAAAAAACAAAATCTAGTGACTGATTTGATTGTCAATATAAAATTCAAAGATTATTTCTTGACCCACTACAATTATGGTGGTATTCCTAAATCTGGATTGGAGGATTTTTTGTATAGTTTTCTCATTCTTTATCTATTCATGCGTTTTGATAATTTCTTTCATTTTCAATGGACGTGGCCAAATTTTGTTTTGGACCTAGCACTCAATCTCACTCGACTATCAACTAGAAAGTGTGAGAGTTGTTAAATACTATTTTTTCCCCCAATATATAATGTATCCCACATCATTTTATGTAATAAATTAAAAAATTCTTAAAATTCTTACGTTATTTTGTCCATTCACATTGAAAATTTGGAGTTATTCTTCCCAAAAAAAATTTTGGAGTTACAAATTTCAAATGTCACTAGTATTGAAACGAATCAACTAGCTAAGCTAGCTTTCAACTTGTTCTTTCAGCAATTTGACTTCAAAAGACGAATTAGTTTTCAACTTGGTAACACTATTAGGTATAAGACTAGTTTTCTGATCTATTAACAATTGATTCAACACTAAAATATAACGAACTTATATAAATTTCAATACGATCCTGAGTGGATTTTCATTTAAGAAGAATTATGAAGTATTAGCTCTTGATCAAACTTCTCTTATTAGTAACTAGTTAGGTCAACAAGTAATTACCTAACTAGTTAGTTAAATGGCAAAGGAGGTGTGGCTCATCCTCATCCAATCTCTTGTCACCTTCTGTGTTGCCTGATGTTTCTCTTATCTTTGGTTGGTCTAATTTAATGATTATAAAAGTGATCCATTATTGGGCGACTGTCTGACTGATAGCTTTTTATTCCTTTTCTATGGATTATATTCCATTTCCATATGACACATCTCCTTTTAATTAATAAAAAATAAATTGGATAAATATCCTTCCATGAAACTCATTTCTTTAATGGGTTCCTAGTTGGAAATCCAACAGATCGATGACACTTCCTTACATTTGCCATGGAGCAAGTGGATGGATGGAATGGAAGTCATGGTGAAAACTACTGTTCTATGACATAACATTGAATAATTTAAAAAAGGATAATGGCATTTTTAGTCTCTATTTTTATGTTGTTTTACAAAATGAATAAATAATTTTACTGTATTACCCATATAGTCTCGACATTTAAGATATAATTTTATCAGTTACATTTGAGTCAAACAATCGCTGTTAAACTGTATAAATAGGGCAGAAGATGTGGGATTGATATTGAACTGAGGGGTGGGAAATTTTCTTTTATCAATGGGCATATGTCAAGTGTTTAAGCCTGATTAATCCCAAAGGTCGAAAGAGTATAAAAAAATAAGATTAAAGAACGAGAGAAAAACAAAATAAATTAAATACTAAAAAGAATAGAAAAACAAATAAATAAATTAAATAATAGTATACGCTTTATGAGCTGCTCGTCACTCTGCAACTCTGGGTCGTGTGCAAGAGCAACTTGCGAAAAAATGCTGCCTAAAGCTTATCATTTCAATTCATTTACAAATTCCCCCTTAAATAAAAATTCATTTACAATGGCTGGCCTTGAAATTTGGGATTCTCTGTAAAAAAAAGTGGTGTAATTTGAGGTTGGATTTTGTTCTTCAGCCCGGTTTAGCCTGTTGGTCCGGTCGAGTAAATGGGTTGAGTATTAATGGTCTGATTGTTTTAGTCCGGTTTAACTCGAACATAAAATTCATTATATTTATATTGTTCATACATATATAAATTATATGAAATCTCATCCAAACATATGAGTAATAACATGTAACATTATACCAAAATATATAACATGGCGTACTTGGATCCAACATATTATAGTGAGAATTCACACATACTGATATAACATTAATGTTCAAATATTCAACTTAGAATTCCAAAGGTCGGGTTAAGC